AAAACACTGCTTTAAAAGCATATCCAAACTAAAAAATAGAAGTAGCTGGGATTAAATATCATTCTCTTCCTCTGTTTTATTCAAATGTAATCCTAAATTTGAGTTTTTCTTTGATTGTAACTCCCTTACAGAGGGAAGTTGAGTATTTGTGTAATTCCAAGAGCCAATGATTAGTCTTTCATAGTTTTTACAATTTGTTCCTCTTTTTTAGGTGATTGAAGTTTATGACTTGACTAAAGTGAAGTTAAAGTACTGGTAAGTAGCTAGATCAGACAGTCTCTGCATTGGCCATGAAAAATGCTTTTTAAAAAGTTCGCAATTCTGCAGCAGCTGGGCTGTCTGCAGGAGGAGTGTGTCATAAAAGTCAGGATGGTGGCCATAACTATGCGACCAAACCCCTGCCCATTTTTATGTGTATTGCCAAGCTTCAGTCACATGCTTGTGGCAACCAACTTGACTTTTTTGACCTACCCTGAGGACACCCCTGGCAATGACAGCAGATTGATTAAGCCAAACAACATTTTAGAATAATCATAAACTTTTGAATTTCTTAAGATTCTTCTTGAAGCAGAATGGTTAAAACTGGTTGATTTTAAAAGAGCCATGTCTGGTCTAAGCATGCTTAAATGGAGTGAAAGAGAAAAAGAGAGATTGGGTCTCCAGGGATTACAGATTGTATTCTGTCTGATGCAGCCCGGTGTGGAGGCATGTTGAGTTACATCAGATGAGGAAGCTGGCTACCTACTTTGATTTTTTTGGTAGAAGCTTTGTTTGCAAATTGCTGGATAGCTACTGTAATGCTGATTGCCTTCTTAATTTATTGGGGAGAAAATCTGGAAAGCCATTAAACTAAACATCTTTTTTAAATCTGATCAGCTTAACAAGTAAACATGTGGCCAGTTTTTTGCCTACACTTGATGGTGTGAACCAGCAAACCAAAAAGTTCTATTTAATTTCAGTTTCTCATTGTGGGTGAGCTGGAGAACGATGCTTACTTTCAGGACAAATTTTGGGCTATTTGAGGCAGGATATTCGGGACAAATTAGGATTTTCAGCCCCATGTGGCATTGAGTATCCTGGCTGATTCCTAATGGGTTACCGTAACTTTGTTGTTAAATTCTGTGTCATAACACTCACTCGCTGGTGTCTTAGAGCAACCCTTATCTTTCCATTGATCTTAATCCACAAAATTGTTGGGACAGGACTGTGGGAGGTACAACGCAGATAAATTCTGCTGCACCGCATCCCATCCTCCACACCCCGTTCTTCGAAGTTGCTGTAGGGGTGTGTCTGTGCATGTGTGTGAGTGTATGTGAGAGAAGGAACAAGACACTTGAGTGACAACCTCTCTAAGATGGTTGTTTAGAAGACATTGCAGCAAAAGAACCTGGGCTTGCGGAGAAAAAAATAGGCTTGCTAGATCTATGTGGAACACATTTCTCACTGAAGCTCTCAAAACAAATGTACAGATCGTCCTTGTTTAGTGACTACAATTGGGACCAGCAACTCGGTCATTAAGCGAAGTAGTCGCTAAGTGAAACCATGATTGTGCTTACTATCTGACTTCAGCTTTCCTTTGCTTTACAGCAGTGTTTCTCAATTTCAGGAACTTTAAGATGTATGGACTTCTTGGGGTATGCTGTCTGGGGAATTCTGGGAGTTGAAGTCCATACATCTTAAAGTTGCTGAGATTGAGAAACACTGCTTTACAGACCTGCAAAGGTCATAAATGTGAGGATTCATTGCAAAGTTACTTTTTCATCACTGTCGTAACTGCAAATGGTCACTAAACGAGGCAGTTGCTAAACAAGGACTGCCTGTACTACAGCTCCCCCAGCCCTGCACTGTGTACATGTCTGAAATCAGCAGGAGGCATCCAAACAGACCTTCACTGCTCACATACAACTGCATAGGCAGACAAATTCAATAAATCTCTACTATACATTTGTAAAATTTGTAACACTCAATTCAGTTATTGTAATTTACCTCTTTCTCCCCAAATCAAGCAGGGGACAAGTGGCAGCTTTACAGTTGGGGGGGTACTGCACAAGTGTGTCACTGGAGCCCCCACCAAAGATTTTTTTTTCATAACCCATGGGGCTGAGATACCTGATTTTATTCTACGATTTCTCAATCTGTGAAAGTGTAGTTATCATAACTCATGAAGGAAAGCAGGCCCCCCAAAAGTTAAATCCTGTTCTTCATCCTGTATATCCTATCTTATTTACTGCTGCTAGGTCAAAACTGGGGGGCCTGAACAATTGTTCAGTTTGCCCATTCCTAAGGCTACCAGAAGATTGCCTTTGGTGGCCTGGAGGCCAATCTTAATGATATTGTTAATAATATTTCTGTCGCTGTGGGTAGGGTGGTGTGATTTTTCTCTCCTGCATTTTGAGGACCGAAGCTTAGTATTTTTTTTTCTTGGCTTTTTAAACCATGATAAATCTGTTTTAGCATTTGCACGATCTCAAAATGGCAGGAAATTATGCCACCCATTTCAGTTGCCAATAATCAACAAGGTTTCTGGGACCATAGATTGCTCTCCTCACCTTAAAACTTGGTCAAAATACTGAGTATTATTTCTTGAAAGGCATTTTGGTGGGGGGAAAGAAATGGCTGTTAAATGAGTTTAAAACTGTGATGAGAAGTTGCCAGCAATCCATTTTAATGCCTTGGACTTTCTCTTCTCTCACATTTTTACAAATTTAGAACTGGTATTGCAGAAGATCTGATGAAATAAGAAAACATAGACTTGGCTTGAAAAACTATTCTGTTTTTCACCCCGTTGAAGCAAGTAATTGCAACAAAAGCATTTTGTGCATGTCATTAAAGTGGATGAAATGTACTTTTGAGCTCTCTTTTACCGAGAGCCTCTTTCCAAGAATTTCACTTTTAAGCATATTTAGTTAGAAGCGGGGTAGAATACAGTATTTAACTTGAAACCCCAGATCAGAAATAGCTTTAGGCAAGGTAGCTGTCTTGGCTACAAGTTTCCATTCTGCAAAAATGGAAACATTCTACTTTTTTAGATGGTGGAAATCAGAAAAAACAGTGAAAATGAAAGGATCTTGAAGCAGTGAACGTATGGGTAGCTTTGAATTTGATGGATGGGTTTTAATCTTTCTTTTTTTTTTTTTTTCCTAGTGGTGTTCATTTTAACTCCCAAGCTATTGCTCCCACCATTGAACAAATTGATCAGTCTTTTGGAGCCACCCATCCAGGAGGTGAGTTTGCACATTGGGAAGATGTAAAATCTTGCTTTGCAGGCTATACATTGAATGAATAAATAAAATAAATAAATATGTCCAGAAGAACCCAAGAGAGTTTCTCCTTCCATTTAATTTCAGATTCAGATAGACCACAAAGTAACAGGTTTATATAGGGTTTTATGGCCTGGAGAGTCCTTTGGTTTCTCTGTGGGATTACCTTGGACAGGAGAAAAACATGTGTAAATTTAGAGGAGCAGAGAGATTACTTTGGAGAAGGTATGCGGCAACTTAGTAAAACATGAATTTAACCCTAGAAAACAGGAAAGGATGAGAAAGAAACTCAAGGTTGCCTCTCCTTGATTCTCTTTGGCATAAGAGGAAGGGAAGGGGAAACACTGTCAGGCTTTCAAGACTCTATTGTTATAGCCTGTATCAGTAAATTAGAGTTCTAGTATTTTTTGTGTCTGTTTCCCAACCTGGCCTACTTCAAAGGGTTGACAAACAGAGGGATTTAGCTCTGGCCTTGAGAAGGAAGTGGAGAGATAAAACTGTTGCTCAGGCCTGGGAAAGCAGGAATCATGAGAAAGAGTCTCAGAAGAGCCCTGCCTTGACCACGTGGTCTGTAAAAGGGGCAGGGAAGGTTTCAGACTTTCAAGATTCTGTTAATAGACCCTACAACAATAAAGTAGCATTCCTGGGATCTCTGCCATAGTGGTCTCCCTCGAGGGAAGAATTTATCTCCATTGACTCTCCTAGAACTCTTAGTGACTTTTGATACTGTTGCTCCCAGAGTGTCCCCCAGGGTTCCCAGCCCACAGTACCTTCCCCTGGTGTCCCATTTGATTCTGATTTCAAAATTCTTCTTATCTTAAAAGAAGTTAGATGGGAGGCTGGTCTGCTACAATGCAAAGAGCCTGCCTCGAACGTAACATCTGTTCCCAAGAATTTTTCTGGGATCCATCTATGTTTTGGAGGCATCTTAGAAAAGTAAAACAGTGAAAACATAACCCAATCCTTGGATTCAAGGCCTGCCCACAAGGAAAGACAAAAGAAGTAAACCATATGAAGGAGAGTATTGTGAACAGTTAGGGAGTGTGGTGGGGTCCCAGCTCACTAGAATGCCTACATAGGTGTTCTGTGATTGACCACAGAATGACAGCCATTTTGTGACAGCACCCAAAGGGGTCCTCAACATTCCACACGTCCCCACAGGCCATTGATTGCAGTATTTTCCTGGAGAGGCTTTCTGAGCTGGACATTGGTGACATTATTTTATAGTACTTCTACCTGTCTTTGGGCAGCCAATTCTAGAAAGTGGTGCTGGATTAAGAGGACTGGTGATATGCAAAACGCTTCAATTTCAAGATGATTTGGCATGAAACACCCCAATCTGGGCCTGAAACAGTTGTTCCTTGCAGGGAAAGTTCCAACCCTGTTGGGTTCATTCTGAGAGTATTCTGAGCTTGAGTCAACTCCATTTTGATTCAGATAATTTCCAGAATAGTTGGAATGCTTCTTGTAAAATCAGAACAACCTTTTGAACCTGAGATCCTTTACGCGCTCCAGAGGGAGCAGGTAGATATTCTGCTTGGTTGAGACTTTGTTTCTGATCTGTTATGGATCTATTCAGATCGGTTTGAAACTTCTGGGAGGCTTTGAGATTTGATGACTTTTGGCTTAAGATACCCTTTGTAGTCCTTAAAATCCTACCATCACCCAAATTCTGCCAGTTTTCTCATGGTGAGGGGAGTTTAGGCATCTTGAGTGCCATTTAAATACCTCCAAATCCCACCAAGAAGCCTGTAGATCTCCTCACTGGCTAGGGGCCACACACTCCCTGCAACTCCCAGACATATATAAAGAGAATGCCTCAGGATGGAAAAGTTACAGACCTGTGGACTACAGTAATTCATGCAATGGTAACCTCTTACCTGGATTACTGCAATAATGTACTAAGTGAGATTACCTTTGAAGATAAAGATGCCCTAGAGTCAATCTTATCTCCTGTGACTGCACCTATTCGCATTTATTTGTTTGCTTGCTGGTTTGTTTATTTGAGTTCGACCCCACCTTTTTGTTCAGGAGCTCAAGATGGCCTACATGGCACTCCTGGCTGCTGTTTTTCCCCACCTCAACCCCATTTCACCCCCCGCTTCTGTCTTTGAATCTCTCTTGCGCGTGTCAAAGATTCCCTCCGGTTCTCACATTAGTACGACCTTGGCCATTCCTGAGAGCCAGATAATGGCCCACCTGTGCCTCACGGTTCTCCTCCCAACCTTCTCTCCCTTTCTCCCTCTCTACTGTAATGGGAGAAACGAAGCAAGCGGACTAGCAGTGCAAGTGATTGATTGCGAGGATTCTGACATCCTATTTGTCAAGGCTGTATGGTATCTCTAATACTGGGGATAGTGGCTTGGTTCATACATCACATTGAGCTGTTGTTTGGCTTAACCATGACTGGTAGAATAAGCCATGGTGGCCTGGATCATATATAATTCTTGGCCATAAACCATGGTCTTGACTGGACTAATGGGCTCTCTATGAGGCTGTCCTTGAAGAGCATTTGAAGCTGCAGTTAAACCAGGATGCAGCAGTTCGAGTAGTTTTGAGTGTTTCCTGATTTGCTCACACACCACCACTATTTCTTCATGGGTTGCACTGGTTGCTAGTTGACTTCTAACCCTATCAAAACTCCCAGGGGCTGGAGTGCTAACAGTAGAAGTGGTTTTTTTGTTTTGGCTTATGGGTGGACGAGATTCTTTAAAGAAACAAATGGTTTACAAACCACAGTGACTGGATCCACACCGCCTGTTAAACCAAAATCAGATCAAAGGCAGGGTGGCTTTATGCCACCTTCTCCAATCTGGTGGAACTCCAGAATTCCCCAGCCAGCATCTGAAAAGTGCTCGGTTCAGAAAGTCCCAAGATGTGAGGAGGACATCAGATTGAAGAAGACTTATCTCACCATGATGCGTATCTCTCAAAACAGTTGAGCAACACGAAGGAGAGAAAGTATTGCAGATATTTGTACCCAGTTTGTAAGTTTCTTGTGCTGTCTAGCAGGATTGTGCAAAACCTTCAAAGAGATCCTTGTTGGAGCAGCCAGGACCAGCATCCACAGCAGCTGTGCAAACCTGAAAAAAATGCAGCTGCTTTAACAATTCAAGAAGTTGCTGTGAAGCACCTCTTTTGAAGGATTGCCTGGAAGGATTTCTCTGGGAAGATGGGATTAGGCCTTTGGTCTGATTTTATTCTTTCTGCGATGTTATAGCACAAGCAGTCAAAGTTATTTTAAACTTTTATTACATGCCTCAAAATACTATAAGTAATTCACATCAGGAGAGCACATGTTGCTTGGAAGAGAATTTGCATGCTCGTTCATATGCTATGGGTGTTTTTTTCTTGTTAGTAACATTTAATCTGCTTTAATTGCTTATAAAGATACTTTTCTTAGTCACCAAGCTGAACGTTCTACTAAAAGGTGAACCATCCAATTTATGCAGTACTAAATTTGTATACTTATTATAGTATATTTGCAATAAAAACTGTAAAAGTGAAAATGCAGAAAAGCTCTAAACATTTGCCATTGTCAATTATCAACAAGATATAAAGTATCAAAAGCTGATCAACAAAAGAAAATTCAACAGGATTTAAAAGCCAGGATGAAGAAAAAATACATCTAAATACTATTTTTCTCCCAAGAATTCAGCATTTGTAGGAGACAGAAAATCAAGAAAAATGTTTGAATTTAGACCAGAAACTCCTATCTGTTTATTCGTTTGATCTCATTTCTTAATTTAGTTGTCCACTGACACCCTGTAGCATGTTTCCCTGTGTCTTTTCATTGTTTTCTTCTTCTTCTTTAGCCCCATTATAACATCCAGCCAAACAGGTTAGGTAGGTTGTGTTAGTCCTGTAGAAACTTGCAGATCGTGTTTGACTTGCGCGCCACAGGAAACAGTGCCCCAAGAATCCAGAAATGGGGGCATCTGATTTCTCATCAGATTAAAAATACCTAGTGTGATCCCATGAACAACTTATTTTCTTGCCCTTCCTCTTGGGTTTTTCACTGTGTATATTTAATTTTTCTATACCTTAAAGTTCTTATTGCTTTACCAGATGATCTGGAAATTTTAGATATGCTGTAATGAAGGGCTCAACACTGGGACAGATTGAGAAGGGAAATGTTTAGATTATTAACAGGAGTGTAGTGCATGCAATATTTGGTTGTATCAAATGCAGATTCCATTTTTTAAAAAGAGTTCCTGTTTTTATACACTGCCGTGTGCTTTTCTCCAGTGTACAACTCTGCTGAACAGCTTTTCCATCTAAACTTCAGGGGACTGTCTTTTTCCTTTCAATTGGACTCATGGACTGAAACTCCGAAGTATGAGGTCAGCTATCTTATTAATAAATAGATGCCAAATGAAAGAATTTATTCATTTCTTCCTTGTGCCTTTCCTTTATGATAAAATGTGTGGTTTAGACTACACGGCAGGGGTGTCTCCAGGGAAGAGTCAAACAAGCCAAGATGGAGGCCACAGTTGAAACTACCCATCTTTTCACATGAATGCACGACACATGTAAAAAGAGGTGGGCTTTTGATCATGCCCTTGTGGCCACCATCTTGAACTTTTGGAGCCCTGCCCACAAAGGCCCCTGCTTCAGGAGGCTCGACCCCCAAGCTGTAGGCATCATGTCAAACTATGGCATGTTTATCCATGTTTTGTTGAATAAACCAGAGTTGTCCAGGTTTACATCATACACTAAACCATAAACCTTGATTTTAATGGGAACTTTAAGTTGTGTGGACTTCAACTCCCAGAATCCCCCAGCTAGCCATGCTGGCTGGGGAATTCTGGGAGTTGAAGTCCACACATCTTAAAGTTCCCAAGGTTGACAAACACTGTTTTAGAGACACAGTGGCTGCATTCTCATGGTAACCTAAGCCACAACCAAAGTAAATCACGTTATGGCTCACCGAGATGTATGAAGGAGATCTTGGTTTTGCTAGCGATAGCTTAAAATTTTCTTCCAAGCACTTTGTAGAGATTGTTATGCTGGTTTGGGAGTGTGAAGAAATAAATGTCAGTTGTGTGTTCAAAATAACTGTATTTTAATTTCCACAGCCAAACTTTGCCCATGGCTTAGCCTCTCTGCAAATTCCACACGGTGCAACTGTGAAACGCATGTACATCTATAGTGGGAACAGTCTACAGGATACGAAGTATGTCACTCTGATATTGTGGAAAATATCCCCAGATTGATCGCGAATGTTGCTTTTTCATGAATATAATCATATGAATAGGGATTTAGGAGAAATCCATGTTTTCGTATTCTAATGGCAAACATACTTCAGTCATACTTTCTAAAAGCATGCAGACCAAAATTAGGTATCTTTTGATATTTGCAGTCCTCTCAATTTTGTGGTGCGGTTAATTTTTTTTAACAAAAAGAATGTGTAGTAAAACTGTACACAGTGTGTATACCCAATATAAAAGTGTGCAGTGCTATTTAGAAATGCATGTGGGCTGTTATAAGAGAAATTGTATAGTGAAGGCAGCAGAGTAAAACAGTTGTGAGGTGCAGTAATGAGAGCGATTGAATATTTTGCATTAATCTTCCATTGAGATGTATTCTATCTTCTGTTTTGGGCTTAAGCTGTTTTTCTGGCTGTTCAGTTCAGGAAACTGTTTCAGTTTCCTTGCTGAAAAAGTAAGGTCTCTCACACATTGATTTCTTGGCACGTGAACCTTCCTTAAATTCTGCCCTTTTATCTGAATGCAGTGGCCTGTGGCAATACAGTGAATAGCCAGAATTAGTTGATCAGTTCAAATATCACACCAAACTGTAGAGCATGGCTTCTGGCTTTCATTTGCTGGCAAACTCCAAACCATGGTTTGTCAGTTCAGCCATACTTTAGCAGAGCCTTCCCCTTCGTGTGTATTGGACTGCAGTTCCGATCATCCTCCAGTCAGCTTCTGTGTCTATCAATTCAATTGCCCTTCCATTGTGGTGTCTTATTCTGAGTTAGGAAGTTTGGGGTATAGAGCCTTCAGTATTAATAAAGGAGTGTATTATGATTTATTTACGTTATTTTGCTGTTTTCAGGGCACCTATGATGCCCCTCAGCTGTTTCCTTGGAAACGTGTATGCAGAATACATTGATGTTCTGAGAGATGGAGCTGGACCCTCAGGTTTACGACTACGATTGCTCACCGCAGGTATCATTCTGGGTGGAGATATTTGTCCTCGGCTTTCCTGTTAAAGACGGGAGAGGGAATGCTGCCCAGTTGGTGAGGTTGGTCCTTTCCAGCTTTTCTAGCCCACTCACAGGGTCAGAAGCAAAAAACCCAATACTAGATCAGGCTGTGACCAAAACAATAACGAATGGAAATTATATCTTCCACCTAAGAGATTTGCTTCCAGCCCTTTACGTAGAGTAGGCTGGAGAAGTAGGCGCAAGAGGTTTCAACACGGATTGTTATAGTATAGCTTGCATTTGACACGCAGCAGTCACTGGCATTCCTTTGTGACGGCAGTGTAGTTTTGCTACAATCAATCTACTTATCTGAGCTTTCATGTCCTGGAAAATATATTCTTGCAATGTTTGGCCTTCTTAGGCAGGCAGGTCTGATATCTTTGGTTGTTTTTTCCAGATACATAGGCAGTTTTCCAAACAAAGCGCTGAGTTTACCATTTTTCTTTTCTTTTCTTTTTATTATTATATTAACTAAGAATTTTTCTATAGAATAAAACACAAATCAAAAGAAAGATAGATAAATCATAACTTCATTTCTTCTTTCAGCAAAAAGTCCATATAAGGTTTCCAGCCTTCAAAAAACCTTTTGGTGTTGTTTCATTTTTATTTTTTAAGACTATTGGGGTCAATGCAGTTTGCTTTGTGGCATGAACTTCTTATGAAGTTGCTTCCTTATTTGAAGATTCCTGAAACCTGCCCCAGAATCATCATCATTCTTACTGCTGTCAGATTTCACTTTTGTATTAGCTGTTCAGTGCCTCGGAGCTATAAAGTTATTGTATCTTCCCTTCTCCTTTGTTTCTGAGGTTGCGGCCTGGGCGTGTTAGCCGATGCCAAGATGCGGGTATCCGAGCGCTGCGTGTATTTTGGTGATTCGTGCCAAGACGTTCTGAGCACTTTGGGGTCTCCTCACAAGGTTTTCTACAAATCAGAAGATAAGGTTAGGCAAAATCCATGCAGATTATTTTTATAAGCACCCTGGCCAAATTGCAGTGTGCAAAGGCCTTCACCCTGGTCTTTCTCGTATGAATGTTGGATAAATTATTCTGTTTGGTTTTTGTTTATTTTTCCTGCTTGCATTTGTCAGTGGGAAGTTTTTAATGTCAGTTTAATTTATTGAGTCTTGTGGGTTTTTTTAATTGTAAACCACCACTGTACAGAAAGTGGCATAGAAATATAATAAGTAATACCTTCAGTTGCTTGATGTTTCCTACTAAATACTAAAGCCAGATTTGATCTTTTTCTCCAACCCCGATAATTTTTTTGGTTTAATTTGCCTTGCTTTGTTTGTTTTGCATCTTATATTTTTGATCCCCAAATGGATAGGTTGTCCACATATATGCTATAGTTCTGAGAAACTGTAGGAGAGACAGGAAATCATTTCTGGAATACACAACTTCAGGATTTGCAAGGAGTGTAATAGGGAGGAGGAGGCAATGAGGAGGAGGAGGAGGAGGCAATTGGAAATCAGTGCCTTTCTGGAAAACAAAAACAAAAGCCTTTCACCTCTGCTAATCTGTGTTCAGAGTTTATCCTTATTGGTGCTGTTGTTATTATTACTGTTACTACAGTGAACTTAGTAGCAGCACAGCCCCTCTGAGTTTTCCAGAGTCCTAGAATTGCAAAGGAAATTCATCCCTAGAATTGCACATCGCTTTTGCAAGATGATTTTCCTTGGGCACCTCCCGTTATCCAGGGACAAAAATGAGTGCTGGGGCTGAACCAATTCCTGATTTCTCCCATAGAGGTCATTTCATCCATTCAAAGCTTAGGGGCCCCCTTTTTCAATAAATGCCACCCACTGTTAAGTTTGAAAATGAAGTGTCAGGTGTTTCTTGCTTATTTTTGAAAACAGATGAAAATTCATTCACCCTCGCCTCACAAGCAAGTCCCTTCGAAGTGCAATGATTTTTTCTTCAACTACTTCACGCTTGGAGTGGTGAGTTAAAGATTGGGTTAGTACACTCCACTGAGCCATATTTGTTTAACCATGGAACATAATTGGACAGGGTCACCCAACATGCCGAACCATGTCAGCTCAGGGCTGGCACCATATGAGCCTATCTGGTCAAAGTCCCAGAGCCAGAATCTGGTTCCTGCATCTGCAGTGTCACTAGATGGCACCCAAGGGCCTCAATAAACTCATTAAATAAATAAGAAGAATCACTCCTTCAGTTGGAAAGCAAAAGCTTATCAGATCTTTATAGTTTTAATTTAAGAAGAAAGGAAGAGAGGTGCTACCCGTGACACTATGTGAACTAACATGCTAGCTGCTTGAAAAGTAGCAGATTCCTGGTCCTGCTCATTTTTGAATTAGTTGAATTTTCCAAGCTGTTCCCACATGTGCAGTGTTGCAGTAATTTGAAGGGATTGATTAATTTTGTGCCATTGAGTTGTTGTCGATTCTTAGTGACCACGTAGATAGATTTTCTCCTTGACAATCTCCCCAGCCTGGTCTTCAGGTCTTCCAGGGTTGCATTCATTGCCTCTCCAACTGAGTCTGTCCACCTTGCTGCTGGTTGCCCTCTTCTCTTTCCTCCCATCTTTCCCAGCATCAGAGCCTTCTCAAGAGAGCAGGGCCTTTGCATTATGTGTCCAAGAGAGACAGACAGACAGATGGATGAAATACTGTCAGTTGGAGACCACGTGGATGGACCTTTTTCATGATGATCTGGTCCTTCAGGTGTTCCAACTGTATATCCATCACTGCTGTAACTGAGTCCATACACCTTGCTGCCGGTTGTCCTCTTCTTCTTTTTCCTTCCACGTTTCCCAGCACCAGAGCCTTCTCCAGAGAGATGGATCTTCACATAGTGTGTCCAAAGTAGGATAATTCAGCCTGGTCATTTGTGCCTAGAGTGAGGACTCTGGGCTGAATCTGAAGGGAAGGGAACTAAAATTTGAATGTGTGTTGCAGAGTGTCACTGATAGTCGACAGGGTGAAAAATGGCATTTGGAGTCACCAAATAATCAGAAACAAATCCAAGAGTACACCTGATCACTTGATCCATTAGGGCAGGACTGGGGAATCTGCAAATCACTTCTCCGCACCATTTAGCAACCTTGAAACTCCCAGGATTATGCACCTGCAGTTCATCAGTAAATTGCCAGGTTTTGGTGGTGCAATTTATTTAATAGTAAATTAATAATCCTCAGAGAAGATGATGATGATGATGATAATGATAATGATAATAACAACATCTGACTGACTGTGCGACCAACAGTAATAATATTCATTAAACTTGTTTGCCGCCTGACTCTCAATGACTCTGGGTAGCTCACAGCAATCAAAGAAATTACAATAAAATCAATAAAAGATCAAGATAAAAGATGGCAAGCGCTTAATTAAATTAAATACTCAATTTGGCTTTAAGAAATCCAATCTCTGCACCACTGCCACTCCAAAATGTATTCCATTTGCAGTTGTTAGAGTTACATTAAAAAAAAAAAAAAAAGGATTCCCCAACCACAAAAAATGTTGTTCAGTCCTTGAGGAAATGTGGACACTTTTCCAAACCAGGACCTTCACATTCCCTTTAAAAAGTTTCAAAACTTTTCTTTGCGATAACTTGTTTCATCACTTAAATTTAGTATCCATATGTATTTTTTCCCTGTTCTGTTTTCTCACACAGGACATCCTTTTTGATGCAAATACCCATAGAGTGAAGAAATTTGTTTTGCATACCAATTATCCTGGTCATTATAACTTCAACATGTGAGTAAAGAACTCTAATGTGCCCCATCTTCCATTTCAATTTTGAAAAATTATGAACTAGCGGGTAGATGTGCAAAGGCCCAGAAACTTTGTGCTTTGCTGGATTTCCACATTAATTTATTGGTCCTAACTGGTTCAACTTCATTTGATGAAGTTTAATAAGTTTTCCAAAATATTTTCAGATGGTCAAAAGTATTATCTTCTTACTCCATGCTATATGTGAGCGTCAACAGTAGATAGCTTCTGACATTTCAGTAGTTGCTTAACTACAAGAAATGGTGAAGAATGCTGGAAATTGTAGTTCATCAACATCTAAAATATTAGAGGTTGCTATTCCTAAGGCAAACAGAATCCAGTAAACCCTGAATGTTTGCAGTGGTCTGATTCAAAACCTGAAATTCCAAAGCTTTGTTTTTCCATTACAAAAAGTTGTCTGTAATTTGGAAAAGTCATTTCTGACCGGATGGGAGAGAGCAGAACGTTAAATTTAATGCATGTGCCGTCTCCAGTTTTTGATATTATCCTGATCAAACCCTTTCCCCAAGCATCTTAATATTATTGTAAAATGGATGCTGATAATCATAGTGGTTGTTCTAACAAAACTCATGCAAGACTGCAGTATATAGAATGTGCATGACGTTTCAAATTTGAATCATTTTGAATCTGAAGTATATTTCAAGTGTGAGACAATGCATGCACACTTCCAAGCCTGAAACAGCAGTTCTGAGTGTGAAATGGGCTGTTTTGATCATTTTGGAATAAGCTTGAAAATCAAGGTGTTATGAATTCAGAACAGTTCAACTTAGACAGGTTTTGTTTAATTCTAAGTGCCCAGCTCTGCTGCACAGGATTTCATAATTCATTTACAGTCAAGTACTTTTGAAATAAAATTTGTGTTTATGGTTGTCCTTTCTCTTAACTGAGCAATTCCACTCTTACAGTTACCACCGCTGTGAATTCAAGATTCCACTAGTTATTAAACGAGGTAAGAAAGAGGAATGTTTGCCAAAAGGTATGTGTGAATGGAAACATCTAACAGGAATGAATTACGGTTTCCTGTGCATTCTAGGACATTTTCTAATGTGTCCTAAAAATGTTTTAACCAACCAAAGTTGAGAGTAAGCCCAAAGTTAGGGGTTATTGAGCTGATCTTTTTAGGCTCAAGATGGCCAACAAAATGGGTGGATTTACATAAGATTAGGGGAGAAAAACAGAGAAAAGCTAGAACTGTGCAGTGCTCACATCCTAATAGATTCTCTTTGTGTATGAGAATATATATATGGAGCAGCTACTGAACAGTAAAGCTGGAGTATAGTTCAGGGGCAGGAGAGTTTCTCCTCTTAATGATACCAGTGGCATACCTCAACAGGTTGTTGTGGACATACGAGTAGGAATAGAATCCCAATAACCTACTTACTGAGCAAGTTATAAATCTGAACAAGTTGCTGTTTTATTATTAAGAGTATGATTGACACAATTTGGATTCGCAGAAAGAAATTGTGGAAAAATGAATGAATGAATGAATGAATGAATGAATGAATGAATGAATGAATGAATGAATTGATGTTCAAATTCTGTATTTAAAAAATTCAAAAGTCACGGATCATCCAAGGGCCTAGATAGGCAAGGTGATTCAAGAAGCTGGCTAAATACTGGCAAACCTCTTATTTATTAGAGGGCAGTGAAAGGCAGACAACCAGCAAAAATAAGGCTTTAAAATTATTAAGAAAAGAAAACCGGTTACTAAAATAACTTACTGTCATAATTTTAATTTTGAAATTCTTAGTGCTAACTTTAGCCCTTTTTTACATAAAGAAATAAATCTGTTATCCTAACATTTTCTAAGCAACCCAAGTGATTAAATATATTTTAAAAAGGGAAGGTAGAATTTTGTTGTCTTTGACCAAAAGCTCTCTAATGCTACTTCAGATTTTCTTATCTCTGGTTATATGTGTGTTTGTGTGTATGTATGTGTGGGTGTGGGTGGGTGAGAGAGAAAGAGAGAGAAAGACTACCAAGTTTCTTATTTCAGAGCAGATTTCTTGGAAAGTATTAAATATGCCCTGGCCTGAAAGACAAAAGCATTCTAATTAATTCCAGGTTTGATAGAAATCCTTTTACAAAGTCATTAGAGAAGACTTGTCTTCATGTATCAAGAGAAAAAAAAAATCAGTGTTGCCCTGTTCTAGTAGTTTCTGGAAGAATAAGGGAAAAACAGACATTTGGCTACAGTATATACTCTCGTGACCCGTCTTTTAAACTTAAGGAGTTCAGAATTCCTCTTTTCGAGAGTATTTTTATTCTGAAGTATAGCTTGCCCTCTTTTTTCTCTTTCACTCCCCATTTGTTTTGCTGTTGTTTTCCTTCACTTCCTGTTTCTTTATCATCCTAATTCCAACACGTACACACACACACACACACACACCAAGTGATGCTCTGCTTAGTTCAATTCACCTCCCGTCACCATGGATTAATTTTCTTTATGCTCCATATTGAACAGCTGGGCCAAGGTAAATTCTGTCCTGCAGACTTGCACAATTTTAATTTTCTTTTATGTTGTTTAATCACCAGTGGCTCATTTCTCTGTTGTAATCGGTCCTGTTCTTGTGGATCGCTCACACGGCAGGCCCGCCCAAGGCTCCTGCCACCACTTTCTCAGACTCCAACACCCAAGCCCACATGCTGGCAGGCATTGCGTCTTTTCCCCGCCATAAGTGTTGTTTTCTAAAATAAAACTAGACAGCTGTACGAAAGCACAGCCTGCGTTCTTCCTCTGCTTCTAGAGCATGGAGAGCATTCTCACACATGCCATCATTTTGTGACTCCTCTTGCTCTCCATTTTTTTAAGGAATAAATAGACAAATATTTTGAGCCAGTGGGCAAATTTGGACTTTGGAGAGCAAGTTGTGGGTGGTCTCCAAGCATGGCTGCCACAGGATATGGTTACTACACCCATTTACTTCCTGCCAGGAGGATTTGCAGGGGTTTCAAAAGCATCAAGAGCCGTGTGATGAAAGCCCCGCCCCTTTTGCACATACAACATGGTTGTGGCTGCTGTCTTGACTTTCTTGACACTCAGCCCTTATACACTCATGTTTTCTGCCATGGTCTCGACATCCCCACCTCTGCAAATTCTCTCTACCCACCTCAGTTTACCTTTGTCCTTCTTCTGGACAGGTGGGCATAGCTCCAAACAATAAGTCTGTCACCATTTATTTCCTAAGAAGGATTAAGGAATCTTTATAAAACCCAAGTCTGCATCCTCATCAGGTCTCGACTGTGATCACAAAATCTCATGCTACAATAGGGGCCTTGTTGAGCAGTTCTCCTGAGATTTGGGGACTCTCCACAGAAATCTTGCAGAAATGTACAGGTAGTCCTCACCTAATGACTGCTATTGGGGCCGGTGACTCCATCACTAAGTGATGCAGTCATTAAGTGAAATGTCATGTGACTGCACCAGACTTAAAACCTCTCTTCCACTGCTGTCATTAAGCAAATCACCTGAGGTTGTTAAGCACAATGTCATGTGACTGCGACTTGTAACCTTCTGCTGGCTGCCCCACTGACTTTGCTTGTGGGAAGCCAGTAGTGAAGCTTGCAAATGTGTGATTACAGGGACGCTGCGATGGCTGCAAGTTTGAGTACTGGTCATAAACCTAATTTTTCAGCGTCATCGTAACATTGAACGGTCACTGAACAAGGCAGTCAGTAAGTGAGGACTACCTGTAATAAAATCTGGAGAACTTGCACAATTTTAGCCATTTTACTTTTTTTTAATTATACATTTTATTTAATTTGAGGGTTCTGGGATGACATTCTGTTTCAGGACTGTTTTGAAAGTAATGATGCTGGACATTGCTGTGTTGCTTTGCATCATGCCAGCTTTTCCCTTTTATTTTTAATTTAATGTTAAGAAATTGCCTACGCATTGCTTATGCTTCACTTACGTATTACAAATTTCAGCACTGCTCTTCTCAAAACCTATATTTTTGTTAATCACCCTAGAATGACCTGTTTTTTGTTCTCAGGTAGCCTCTGTGCATTCCGCCTCTCCCCTCACCCACTTCCCACTTGGCTTTTTTCATTTTTTCCCCTGTCCAGTTAGAGCAAATTGTTAGTCCTCCTACAAATGCAGAATTAATTTCATATCAGTTTTTAGGGTAGGAAATGTGGTTGAGCAAAACCTACCTGAGTATTAGATACCCTCAAACAGTGAACAAATATTGTGCATTATCAAATGTATTAGGATAACAAATCCATATTACAGCAACCATCCAAAAGAAATTAATTAATTGCGCCTACCAAAACTGGCAGGACAAGCTACTGTATATAAACAGGCAGCAAACCCCACCCATAACTCGCACTGATACTACCTAGTTGGGTCGTGAAACGTCTGCAGGGAAACCACCAAGCTCCGAGAGCACCAAGGACTGCACAGCTGAGCTACGGATATTCTCTTCTGTTACAAATTAATTAACTTACATTAGCAAATGCTATCCTCCTAGCTTTCTCCTAGATTGTTTATTGTTGAGGTGGGGACCTTAATGAGAAGGATGCAGCGCAAAGTCCTGTTGTCTGCTTTCAATTTAATTATTGAAGGAAAAATTGGTGAGCTTATAGCACGTGCTTGAACCTGAAATCCAGGATAACAGCACCCAGCTGCTGGGTTCTGAACTGGGCCACTAACTACCAATTCTATTGTGTTTATGTTATTATTTATTTTATTAAATTAAATTTACACGGCCACCCAGCTCACTGCCATGACTCTGGGTGGCTAACAAGGTTAAAAATCCAAAAAAAACAGTACAAAAACAACCCTTACTCTAGTGCAGTGTTTTTCAACCTTGGCAACTTTAAGATGTGTGGGCTTCAACTCCCAGGATTCCCTAGCCAGCATAAAGTTGCCAAGGTTGAGAAACACTGCTCTAGTGTGTTTAAGTCAGTGTCTTGCCCCTAAATATATAAGAATACCAGAATAGCAACCAAAACATTCCATTCTTTGTAGTATCACCAGTTTGGCTTAACTGGGTCACCTTTTGAGAATAAAACCAAAACCTGCCAGATGTTCCAAAACACACAACACCATGAATAAAAAGTCAGCACATTTGGCCCCGTTTTTGCATCCTGGGTGATTAAAGGGTTATCAAAGACGCTTGTCGTTTGAGATGCGGTTGAATTGCCTCACAGTAAGTGTCTTGCTCAGAAGAATGATTTGCACAGAAAACGATTTGCATTATCACTCTTATGCATCCTAAATCTCTTTCAAGGGTTCGAGAGAAAAATGTGCCATGGCTCAACCAGAACTTCAGGAAACACTCATCTAAAGAAACCCTTATGAACTTCCTTGAAAATACATTCCTTTTATGTTCCAGGCAAAACCCAGCTTTTTGGTCTTAATTAGGCATTCAGTAGGAGGAATGTTCCACTGAAATGTAATCTTATAGAATATTTGTTATTTTTGTCCCCCAAACTAGAAAGCACCGATTCACAGATGGAAACCTGCACAACTTATAGCAAGGTAAATCACAAAGAGGAATTTGTTAGAATAGCCCTGACATTTGCAGGTGTACTGCCTGTTTTTTGTCCAGGTGAATAGGAGGGGTGCTGAAAGACTATTTTGTATGGGCTCTCTCAGAAGAATTTGGGGTTCATGGATTCATACCAGAAAATGACTTAACCTTGAGATATTTGCAGTCTTAAGCTTCCAGTAAAGTCAGACAAAGAGCAGGCCTCATTATGATGCATCCAGAAATGAGGTCCAACAGCAAGGAAGACCTGCTGTTTGGTCACTATGATACCTGTTTGCACCTATTCCAAAACACAACTTGGCACCTGAATTCTGGAAATGAGATGCACGCAGAACCTTTTTGCTTTTTTTTTTTTTTTAAATAATGACATTCACAGAGTGCTTCATTCTCCAATTTCCTTTTGCTTGTAGTGGGATAATATTCAAGACCTTCTTGGACATCCGGTAGAAAAACCTGTTGTTCTTCACAGGTAAAAATAGTGTCCTTTGGGAAGAAATAGATGGGCTTGCTAACAGGTATGAAAAAAAAAAGGCTCCAAAGATGATGCTAAGGATCTGAAAGGGGATAGATTCTAAATTATTTAGTACTGTTGCAGAATTCTGCTCTGCGTTCACTTGCCTCACGCAAAGACTAATTGTGGGTTGGGGGGTGTTATGGAGAGAACCCTAAAGTAAACTTTGTCACTTTGCTGGGAATCCATCTTCACGATTGTTTTGCTTGTTGAATAATGTATATCATGACAGAATTTATTGCTTGCTGAGTAACATATAGCGTGGCAAAGAACTTAAGCATCTTCATTTTTGGTAAGCTCGTGATGTCTGTTCAAGGCCAGCAGAACACATTGTGAAAAAGCACTGCGTGTTGAAAAATCTGATTCAACATTCCTAAAAGGTTGGTTTCTAACTCTAGCTGAGGTTTGCTTTAAATTGAATGGTAAACATATTTGCTTCCTTATTTTCTACAGGTCATCCTCTCCAAACAACACAAACCCGTTTGGGTCAACATTTTGTTTTGGATTACAACGGATGATCTTTGAGGTTAGGAAAACAACGATTGGTTAGGGTTGGGTTGGGTTGGGTTGGGTTGGGTTGGG